TGTTTTTCTCCAATTTTTGAAAAAAATTGATTTTCCTTATATTTCAATACAAAAGATGCCCTATGTGTAAGACTTTCAAAATGGAGCTCCTTTCATCAAAATTCCCAATGGTTAGTTTATAATCTGTTATCGAAGTTTAGGCTATGTTGGATTTTACTGTTCTTTTTTCTTGTCTTCAGTTATATTGTAAAGAAAGTAGAGCTCTCAAACTAAGAATATTAAAAAACATCCCCACATATAAAAGGCCATTACGCCTTCTTATAAAATAAACTCCAGCTATTGGATTATTTTTATTTCGTGTTAGCAAATGTCCACGTTTTTATTTTTCACTTTTCACGAGATATAATATTTTTCTTGAATGCAATAATATCTAAGATTTGAGTTTCCCGACGAAATAAGCACTATCCGATATTTGTCTATTAATTTTGCGTCAAAATAGCTCCTTTTTCCATTTTTCCAAAAAATTGATATTTTCACCAAAAAGCCAAGTCTAAAGCCCATGTTTTTCCCCTAATTTTTGAAAAAAATTGATTTTCCTTATATTTCAATACAAAGATGCAATACAAAGATGCCCTATGTGTAAGACTTTCAAAATGGAGCTCCTTTCATTTTCATCAAAATTCCCAATGGTTAGTTTATAATCTGTTATCGAAGTTTTGGCTATGTTTGATTTTACTGTTCTTTTTTCTTGTCTTCAGTTATATTGTAAAGAAAGTAGAGCTTTGAAAATAAGAATATTAAAAAACGTCCCCACATATAAAACGCAATTACGCCTTCTTATAAAATGAACTCCAACTATTGGGTTATTTTTATTTCGTGTTAGCAAATGTTCACGTTTTTTTTTTTCACTTTTCACAGCATATAATATTTTTCTTTAATGCATCAATATCTCAATGTTGAGTTTCCCGACGAAATAAGCACTATCCGATATTTGTCTATTAATTTTGCGTCAATATAGCACCAATTTCCATTTTTCTAAAAAATTGATATTTTCATCAAAAAGCCAAGCCCATGTTTTTCCCGAAATTTTGAAAAAATTGATTGTCCTTATACTTCAATACAAAGGTGCCCTTTGTGTAAGACTTTCAAAATGGAGATCCTTTCATCAAAATTCCCAACGGTTAGTTCATAATCTGCTATCAAACTTTCGGCTATGTTTGATTTTACTGTTTTTTTTTTGTTTCCAACTGTATTGTAAAGAAAGAAGAGCTTTAAACATAACATTATGAAAACAAAATCCCAAGCACTATCCTATATTTTTGTATTATTTTTTAGTCAAGAAAGCCTCATTTTTCTGTTTTTCAATTTGAGTATACTTTTCAACATTAAATCCGGATGGTTATAACGCCTTTTTTGCAATGTAAGTTTACATACTTGCAATGCCAAATCCGAGGATCGATTCCCCGTGGTGGACAAAGCAGATAGCCCAGTGTGGCTTTACTCTAAAACAAGTGGCAAAGCGGTATGTCTGCGGACATACAACGCTCGAAACCGGATCTCGATACTCTTGATGGGCAGAGCACAGATAGCCCTTTGTGTAGCTTTGTGCTTAACTTTAAACAAACACGTACTTAATGATTAAAGGCTTTCCCGGGGTATAGCGGATGCAAACAAATGTGCAGATGCTTTCCAAAAATGGTATCAACAACAGGGATACCCGTAGCTATGTGACTATATCATTTGTGTGAGCTGAACAAAATATTAGAAAATCAATCATGTATACTTTGTATAATTTTTGTTTTTAATTGAAGTTGAGTGGTTACAGTTAAAAATGGGAATGGTTACAGAAAAATGAACTTTTAGGAAAACAATTGTACGAGATAAAATGTCTCTGAGTGTCTGAAAAGTTGAATTGATTAATGGAGCTCTTTGTGAGACGTGTATAGACTAAATTAAATAATTCTTGACATAAGACGCTGATATTTTGTAACTTATACGAGTTTTAGAGTAGTTTACTAACTGGAGTTAATGATATCGCTATTCCCTGAGAGTTCATTAAATTTTCTTTGTCGTCAGATATATTCTCAATCAAATATTCAATAAGGGACAGATGAATTTGCTGTTGATGTTACCATACGTGTCGACACTTTGTGGTAGAACGAAAGGTAAATGAAATAATAAAAAATACTTGTTCAAGTATACCTATTTTTATTATGCTAAAATGCAAGGAATACAATACAAAAACGGTTAATCACAATGTCAGTAAGCACAAACATGAACACACTGACAGATAAACACAGAGCAAAAATAGAATCAATTGAATATTTTACTTCAAGAAACCACGAATACTTTCACATGAGATACTGCAACATTGCACACAAAATAAAAGAAAAAAACATTTTCTCAAATACATTCGTATTGTGTAAGTAAATTTCTTACATGATAAGGAGTACCTAAAATTGAAAGGTAACCATTATTACAGTTTTGTATTCATATACACGAGTAATTAATATATTATAATTTTGCTTTGAAACTGCTAAGATTTGGGAAAAACTGACAAAAAATAACACACCTCGCTAAAAGCCATCCATACTTTATCACTTTCATTGTCTTAGTAGGTCTATGTAACTTTGAAAATTAATTTTACAATCCGAATTTCTATAATAACAAGAATCGTTTTTATCAGATTCAAAACACTAAATAATTATGAAATGCAATAAATAAGTAAACATATCGTGTTTTTAAAAACAAAAATAAATTAAATGAATTAGTAAAGAACATTTTAGATTAGTTACTTTTTAATTTCTAAAAAAAAGAGCGATGCACATTCTTCTAGTGTCTTCAGCTAACTGTATGTAAAAATAAGATAAATAACAGAAATTAATTTCTCTGATTAAAGACTGTCTATTTGAAAACGTTTTCGTTCAACAGCTACTGATTTGATGTGCTAAATTGTAAATATATTTAAAATTATTATTAGAAGTAAGTGGGTATTAATATTTCAAAGTATGTATTATAATTATTGATATATTTTCAAATTTTTTGCTATTTACATATTATGACGGTGAATTTGATTCATAAAAATAAAAGTTAGTTTAAGGCATTTAGAATAGAAGTTACGGTTATATTGAGAATTTTAATAGACTTGTTAAGTTATGTTAAATTATTAACTAAGAACTACGAATGAGCATAAATATTTTAGTTCAAGCGCCACCTAACGTCTTCCGAATGTTTCGAAGATTATATACAATCTATTGCTTGTAACTGAATGTGATTTTAATGATACATTTTTCATTATGATATTACTCTAATTTTCAGATATTTTTAGTAATTGACTAAGATTGTTGCACGTGATGATTGCACAACTAATCAAATTTAATGTTGTATTGTTGTAACGTATTCATAAGAGTATTTAAAAGAAACATCCAGAGTGGCTGTGACAACACATCATTATATAATACGTCTTATTTTGTGTACCTATTTATTAGAATAGCAAATTCAGTTGTATGTTTCCAATATTTCGGATACCAAAACAGTATATTCTCTGATAGCGTCTAATTTCTCGAAATAGTTACTTCTCTACCCTCTTCTAAGCAGATGTACTGTTTTCGGAAATCCCTTTCCTAAGAAATATAAACAATTTACACATAAGTAAACAAATACCAGAATATAAAAGTTATGACCTATACTATAAATTTTAAGAAATGTTGATAATTGCACAGATGTCCCCGTATTTCAAGGTTTATAACATTAATATTTGGGATTTAATCACCACTGTGACCACAGTGCAAATAACGCATTGTGAATGGTTTTACGACAAAACAGCAAAAAAGCAGCTGACATTTTTAATCAGCCAACAATACTGTATTTGCTGAACTATACATAAGGTATTAGTATTTAAATATAAAAGAAAAGTACGTACATTAATTATGACTAAGTAGTTAAAGTTGTTTTTGAAGACAAAAAAAAGTAATAGATTTTGAATGTTCAATTTCAACTTCTTTTAATGCTAATCGCTAATGTAGCATCACACCAACACCAGTAATTACTCTTAGCAACACACATATTTTTTGCTTAATTTTAATTAACATTAAAGGAGCTTATAAAAGCATCGGAAGATATTAATAGCAGTTGTGCCGGGCTAAAGAACTTAATTATCAGTCCATTTTTTTTTATGTTCTTAGATTTATTAAATACCCTTAACATTTTATCCTTTTAAATATATTTTTTGAATAAAATTAAAATTGATACCCAAGATAAATAAATGAAGGAAAATGACTATTTCTTCGAAGAGGTTTTAGGTATATTTTTACACTGCTAAATATATTTAATTTCACCAGTCTTGGGTAAATTATAATATTTTGATAATACTTGCTGTTTAGCCACACAGTTCCAATGGAACCTATATATAATAAAGGTTTTGCCCATTAGTTAATCAGATGACAATCTTAATGAGTTAAAGTTGTAGAACAACTTTAAGAAATTAATACAAACGGTAAAATTAAAGGTTTGTAGACGGCTTGAAGGGGTAATGAAAGAAACAACTGTAAACGTATAACGTTTCGTAAAGATTATGTCATCATCTGGTACGTTTAAGTTGTTCCAGTTTTCTGTTGTGCACAGATTTCTTCTCTTAATTTAACACGGAGTTGCGTCAGTTGATGGTCCGTTGTATATTGTTGTACTCATCTGGTTTGAGGTAGTAGGGAAGTTGGTGGTCTAATTCTTTTTTTTACGTTTTTTTAGGTAGTTTAGCTCTTGATAGTTGGAATTCAGGGTATCTTTTAGAAGTTGTCGTTACATGTTTTGAATAATACCTGTAAACCGGTTTAGGTTTTTGGATAACTTGACTTTTACAAAGTTGTGAATTAACCGCTCAGAGCGCCATTGTCTGAGGAAAGAAACATCGTTTGTCTTTTTGACGATTTTTACGCTTATTTCACGAAGTAATTTTATCGTTTTTAAATTTGATGACGAAGGACCCACTTTTTAGGAAATAAAAGTTTGGAGATAGGAAGTGAAAAAATTTGTACCTGATGGTGACATAATCTTGTCGAAACGTTGTGCATTTATAATAATTACCCATTTAAGCCGTCTCCAAACTTTTATTTTCTAAAAAGTGGGTTCTTATTCAACCCATTTGAATTCATTATGACGATTACTCGAGGTTTTGGGAAGTCTAAACGTTTGTCTTTTTTATCCTACTTATACCTTTCTAGCATGCTCCCTCACTTGTCCACCACCATAAGTCTATGGTACCTTACAACTATCTCCAAACTATGTAGAGATAAGGTGGAGACGTTTTTAAATAATATATTTGTCGATTTTAAAAGTAATTTTCACTCAATAAATTTTTATGGCTATGAACATTTTAAAAACACTGCAACATTCACTGAACATTCACAAATATGAGTGTATAATTATGTTTGTTATTAATTTCGCGCAAAGCTACACGAGGACTATCTGCGCTAGCCGTCCCTAATTTAGCAGTGAAAGACTATAGGGAAGGCAACTAGTCATCACCACCCATCACCAACACTTGGGCTACTCTTTTACCGTCACATTATAACGCTCCCACGCCTGAAAGGGCGAGCATGTTTGGTGGGACGGAGATTCAAACGCGCGATCCGCTGATTACGAGTCGAACGCCCTAAGTCACCTGGCCATGCCGGGCCTATAGTTATGTTTATAAATAGTTAATTTACACAATCCCTCCTCTTCTTGTTAGGAATGAGTACAGTTTGGACTTTATTGTAATAATCATCAGTAGCGGGGTTTTAAGAACAGTAATACAAAAACAATTATGAAAACGTTCTAATTACAGAATTGAGAGGAAAAAACAAAACAGAGACAATTTCACGTTGCACAAAAACGACGATGGTTTTACCAGTAAAGGCATCATCAGGTATCTGTCTGTAATTGATGATGTCTTTAGTGGCGAAACCATGGTCATTAATAAATGGAGTTTTTGTGAAACGTGAAATTTTCTTTGTTTCTTTTCCACAATTCTGTAATTATAGAGTTTCATCAAATACCAACGGTTTCAAGTAACAATTATACAAAAAATTCTAGTATTATAAGTATGTCTATAATGTTAAATGTCCACTTTTTAATTTAAAATTATACACGCTTATAAATCATCAGAATTTCAAAGCGTATATGATACGCAAGCTACAATGATGCTGTAAAAATATTTTCAAACAACATTAATATTAGCATAACTTAGGCCTATAATTTCATAATATTGAATATTTACGAGAAATAGGAACTATGCTGAGCTATTATTTGTAAAACTTTGTGAAATGGTCGACAAACATAAAACTCTCAACACTTAATCGTAGTATTATTGTAATTAAACAAGCCACGAGATGGCACCAAATATCAATCTTGTTTATTACTATATTTCGAACTTCAGTGTTATTGTTGTTTGAAGTTAAGCACAAAGCTACACGATGGGCTATCTGTGCTCTGCCTACCACTGGTATCGAAACCCGGTTTCTAGCGTTGTAAGTCCACAGACATGCCGCTGTGCCACTGGTGGCTTTTCGAAAAACCCATAGTTGCCGTTGTTTGATTATATTAAAAACGTATTTTGGAATCTATTTGAAATAATTTGGTAATATTCGTGCTTTGAAAACTTGTATGGTGCAAGTCCTGTAAAAACAAATTATCAAGTTTCTAATAACACAGAAATATACGGACAATTCCAAAAGCTATGAATATATTTAATCTTAAGGAAAAAATACATACAAAGCCAGGATAATCTCCTATGTATACCTATATTTATAGAGAAAATATAAAAAAAATCTCAGGAAATTTTCATATACTTATATTGCCCTTCTCGCTTTATTAAAAAGGAAATTAACCCTTTAATTATTAGGATAAAACTAATCTGCATTCCGATTTCTGACATAATATAATTTATATCATAATTTTAACTTTAAATGAAGTATTCATAATATTGCAATTTTCAGAAATGATATTAAGTTCGTGCATGAAGCTTCGAGACTTTGTAGAAGCAAGAAAATCAATTAATTTTCATACCATAACCTTATTTAGGGAGAATTATCTATTTACACTGCCATATATAAGCTGAAAGCTCTAATATATCACAGATTCTATAGTAGTCGTACTTTAATTTAGTTGGGTTTGAATTCAAGGTTCTATGCATAAGAATGACCACCTATCCATAGTTTCAACGCATTCGTCGATAGTGTCTATTTGTAGAAGTTACTCCCATGCAGAAAAAACAATAAAATATACAACTGAGATCCATAGTAGTCAATTCATGTTTTTTTTTTATCGATTAATAACAACATTAATTCATGTGGTTTAATTTTCAAACTATCTCCAAAAAGAAAATAAACAGATCTCATTAAAGTTTAACTTGTGCATTGTATATGAACTACGAAGTTGTCTCGAACATTTTATAAACATAATATTAGCAAATAACCATATAATTTTAGAAAGATGATTCAAGAAATTGCGAAGTAGCAACATTTAACAAGCCTCTTGTGTCTCTGACATCTCAAGAAAAATATCAAATATTAATAATTATGGTATACGTCAAAAATTACTTTGAACTCCTTGAATATCAAACATGGGATAAAAAGTTCTGAAGAAATTCTGTAAATGAAATCCTCTAAGAGCAAAAAAGAAAAATAATGGCGTACTATACATTTTATGTTTCTTATCTATTCGTTCGTTAGTGAGCACAGAGCTGCACAAGGGACCATCTCTGCTGTGTCTAACACGAGTATCGGAACCCAAATTTTACCGTTACAAGTCTTCAGTCATACCGCTGACCTCTTGGGGGCAGGTTGTTATGTTTGGTGTTATAAAATACTCTACATATTTAAAATTTTTATAGCTACTTATGATCGATTTTATAAAACTCCAAAAGCTAAAAAGTATTTGATTTTCACGTTGAAAATATTTCGTTTTCGCATACGTCTTTAAATATCTAATATTGAACAACAACAACAATAGAATACAAAGACACATACTGAAGAACCTCTGCGCAGATTACAAGTACATTTTTCTGATTAACTTGAAACTAAGAGATTTTAATAAACTTTTGTTGATTATATATTTCTATATTACGTTTTTTTTTATTTTCTATTTTTCACTTTTTCCAAATTGTGGACGTGACGAGTTATCAAAATGAATTTCTGATTACTACGTTCAAAGATTGAATATTTTCATTAACACAAATCACGTAGCCGTCATTGGATAAATTCAATCTATTTGAAATTAATCAGCCTATTTTCTGATCAATTGAAAACACGAGAAACAATATCATTATAAAAACAACAACAAAAGAACTCCGTCTTAACTTGAACGAAATAAAGGTATAGGTTAAGGTACTTAGCGACATAATGAGTGTTCGTTTTAACAAAAAGGATCTTTAGACAATTTTACTTGTTTAATCTTATTCACTCAACTCGAAAGAAAGTTCAAATAATTAAGTATTAATTTGCAGATTTTTGAATGACACATCATAGTACATCATGATAAATCATAGTAAATACAGAACCTCTGAAACCTGTTTTTATGAAATATCTGAGTTTTTATCAAATAACTTACTGATGGTTCATAATGAAAAAAAAATTCATTTGGATTGCTGGAAAGAAATCAATTGGTTCGAATAAAAGTGCTGATTAAGCAAACCTAGTGAAATGCACAAAATATATGTTGCTGACATTGATGTGAATTTTTGGAAATATAACGTTTTCTATTAGTGCATCTGCGATAATACACACTTTATTTTGTCACACAAACATATTCGGTAGATATGTTAAAACAGAAGAGTTAACATAAGACATATCGGCTAGGTAAATACAGAATCTATCGATCTAAGAAACCAGATGAGAAACTGCACAATCAAACAACATTGAGGATTAATTGAGAACAAGTTCCGTGAAAATTACTTATCATTACGCTTTAATAAGCGTTGTTTGAATCCTTGGATTTATAATTGTATTCAGGATTTAATGAATTCCGGACTAGCTAGTAAATTAAACTTTCTGAAAACCACAAGAACAATGAAGCGAATTTCGTTCACACAAATGTAATATTATGCACATCTGCAGAAAGTAGGGTTTTACATATTTATTTAGAAAAAGGAAAATGTTTGCAATTCCCTTCAGAATGATTAAAATCTAAAAATTTATTTTTGTCGTTCAGCAAACACACACAAAAAATTAATCTTTTATGTACATTCAAAAAAGAAACAATTATATATATATATATGTATATACGGCTTTTAGGGCGGGATCTTAATACGAAAATTAGTTTAGACATGACATAACATTGTCGTGTGAGTAATGATGACTCCAATAAATGTTAAATTAATGATCAGGGCAAATACTTTTAATTTCTTAGTCATTAACCGGCTTTAAAAACATCAATGATGTATAGTGAAGTGTTTAGTCTCTTATTAGAAAATACTAGTCAGAATAGAGTTACGAATTCTAGGTTAATTTACGAGTGTCCAAAAAGGAGTAGTAACAGATTTTTCCGTATCACACGTTTGCTTATTTTTCATACAAAGTTCATATGCTTTACCGATTTAATAAAAATATAAAAAATACAAAATATAATCGAAATTTCAGGATTCTTTATATAAGCTTTACTCCAATTTGTTTACTGCTAAGAGTATCCTAAAAGTGTATTAGCCCTGAGGTAAATCTTCGGATTTCAGAGCTGGCGAGCCGGGTTCGAATCCGTGCATACCACAAAATATGCCCAAAAGTTTAATCTGTGGATGTATTATAGGAATGACAGTAAAACTCTTATTGTGCTTTGAAGGGTGGACTAATTATTTGTTCTTTAACCTAGAGATAAAATGTAATTTCACATTCTGAAGCACTGTCACAAATATTCACATTTACCTATTATCTGGTAACCGTTTTTAAGCACGAAAAATGAGGAGTTGTGTTTTTTACGTTGAATAACAAAAAGAAAACAATGCAACAATTTATGTTACCTGCCTTAAAACCTATCCCTTATATTCCATTTTTACCAACAGCAAATTACATTCCTGATATTCTAACAAATTTCAAGAAATGCATTAAAATTTAGGAATGACAGTAAAACTCTTATTGTGCTTTTAACTGTTTTTTCTTTCCTCTAGTCAATCGTTCAAAATTAGGGACTGTGGCAGATAACCTTAGTAGGTTTGCGATAAATACTTATAAACATTCTGATAATTTTCTTTATTTCTTTAAACATGGTTGGACATTACATACAGCATCAATTGCTGTATAAACTATATTCATTCGATTTTAATATTCGATCACTTTCTTTCGAGAAACGTCAGTAAGTTTTTGTCCCGGTGCCTTTTTAGTGAAGTTATACTTATTTTATACTTATATTAATAAATAAATAGTTTTAGACAAGTATAAACTTGTTAGTCTTAGTCTATTAAAGTGGGATACAATCTAGTTTTTGACCAAAATAATTTCTCTGGACTATCACATAAGTTACAATATTTCAGGAAGCCAAAACTTTAGAAAAGCACGTTCGTCTTAAAACTGGAAAACAACATTTTTTTTATGACCTAAGTTTTTAGCGAATGAGATTATTTCGAGATCTAAATTATACACCCGTCGTGTGTATCATGCACGGCAAAAACAACAACTTCTATTGTTTATTTATTGTTTATCAGTAGTTGAAATCATAACCCTCATGTGACTTGACTTTGAAGTTGCTGGTGGTTAAAATTATAAGTAGCACGTAACTTAATATTTTTAACTCTCTTAGAAGTATTAAGTAATACAACTATAAATTTATGTAGTTGTTCAAGAATATATTAAATTAGAAAATAGGTTCATATATACCTCGATGGAAAGCAGGTAGTCAACATTACCCACCTCCAGCTCGTGGGCCACTCTAATCAAATAGCTGGATTTGGCCGTCACCCTTATAACGCACCCATGGGTCCAAAATGCGAATTGCGATTTTTCTGGAGGTAATGAAACGCAAACCACAAAGCCTCGGGTATCTTGGGTCTCGTTAGGCCCAGTTAATATGTTGTAAAATTTAATTAAGAAATACTAAGTAACAATTAATTGGAAAAATTAAATACTGTCAAATGTTAAATAAATAACAGCAGATATGTTAATTTATCCTCATGAGAGAAAGTTGTTTAAGGGGGGGGGGGTGGACTAATTATTTGTTCTTTAAACTAAAGATAAAATGTAATTTCACATTCTGAAGCACAGTCACAAATATTCACACTTACCTATTATCTGGTAACCGTTTTTAAGCACGAAAAATGAAGAGTTGTGTTTTTTACGTTGAATAACAAAAAGAAAACAATGCAACAATTTATGTTACCTGCCTAAAAACCTATCCCTTATATTCCATTTTTACCAACAGCAAATTACATTCCTGATATTCTAACAAATTTCAAGAAATGCATTAAAATTTCAAATACACGTGCAAGCCTATAATTAGAAAAAACAATTGAAGGGAAATGAAATGAAGATTTTAATATATCAGACGAAACGGTGAGTAGCAGAATATAAATAGCTTTTCATAATTTTAGCAAGTCACGATACAATACTAAATCAATACACTAGTAGAATGTAATTTGTAAGGAAATTATTTTGACAGAAATATGTATATATATATATATATATATATTTAATTTCTTATATTGGAACACAATATACACAATTTTATGTTAAAGTTATTATCGTTTAGAGATAAACGTACGAAAGATGATTTAGAATATTAACTGGAAGAGTGTTTAGAAATTACAATGATTAGTATTTATTTTCCTTATGAAAAAATTACAATAAACATGGCGTACAAAATATCAATATATATAAAATTACATAGACAATTTTGTGAAAAATGAGTTTTCGTTAAATAGCTTAAAGCATAATATTCACAACATTTTAGCATATATATAACCTATAATGTGCTAATATTTTATAGCATAGTTTGATGAAACTATATGAAGGGCTGAAAATAAGAGAAAAACATGCTTAAGAAGTAATTTTATAATAATAAACAAAGAATCAAGTAACAGATTAATTTACTTAATACTATTGTTTGCTAATGGCCTAAATGAGTCGAATAACGAGCATTACTATATGTTGTTCGAATGTTTGTTAATTGTATTTAATTAACTTTTATCTCTAGTACCAGTTTCCTTACCATTAAGATCTGTTTGATGATGGCGTTTCCCTGGGGTCGTTTTATCACTTGTATCTCAGAATTGTGGACTTAAATGGATTTTAGTATACACACAAACACACACACACAGAAGAAATACTGATTTCTGTAAAATATCCTGAAATAATCACAAAATTGTGTGTTTTTGATACAATACAATTATTTTACATAACTGCAATAATAACTACAGTGACGTAAACAGTAAATAAATTATTACTTTTTTATCTTTTTTTAATCAAAAAGTCTTTATCGCTTCACCTTAGGGAACATGGAAAATGTTTAATAACTTAAGATATTTGCTTAATTCGCTACTTTCTAATCTGTGAAACAATTACATTTTCATTCTTTGGAAAAATATACGAAAGTAAACAAAATACTAATAATTAGATGTGTATGACTTTGTATTTTCGTAAGCTTTAAAAAGCTTAGCACTTAAGATTTTTATTAAAGGATTAAAGGAATATTCAAAGGCGCATAAACAAGATATATTTGAAACTATACATCTATGAATAATGCAGAGACCAACGCAGATTATTCTGTTATTCCATCATTGTTTACACTTTATAATTTTTAATAGTTTTTCGAATTTGTCCTCATTTGATCAATTTTCATTAAAATGTTGATTACTCGGGAGAAAACAAATAGGATAATAAATGCCCATAAGAATAAAACATCACAAGTCACGATACTAGCACTTTTATCTATTTAGTTTGCTTTCGAAATATGCATGAGGCTAAACATATACAATGCTGCTTATATTCAAACCTCAAACCAACATACATGTAAATCCTCGAACAAATGAAAATGTATACCTTCAAAAATATGACTTTTTACAAATAAACTCCAAGGCACAAGAATAAACAACAAACCTTATTACTGAAACATTAAACATTCTAAATTTTATTTCACACAAAACAATAATTGAGAGGAATACAACACATTTATTAGAGTTAGCTTCATGTATTGTAAGGTATTGAAAGACCTCATACTGTTGACTTAAGCTTTTCACCTTTTTCTAGAAGTTGGACAGAAGTGAGTTAGGAATGTGAGACTGGCCAACGATAACTCTGTGGAAAATATCGGCTATTGGCCGTATCCTGAAGAACCTACAGGACACTTTACTAACCACAATCTCTTGGCTTCAGATGCTGATCTCCCAGTTGATCAGTAGGGTAATATAATGAACCAATATGTTGTACTTGAATGTTGTCTAAAACCTTACTAGAGGTCTTGGCCATTTCACGAGCTGATGAAGGTTTTAGACGACTCCTGATGACACTCTTGCTTCTGATAATCATGGTCTCCAGTAAGTATTGTGTACTATTAGGCTGTGATGCTATCACGAAATACCTCAGTTCTTAGCAAAACAGGAAGGAGCAGTAATACAATGCTTATTGCAAGAGTAATCTGTGGTGCAGTGGCTGAGTTTTATTTTTCTTGGACTGATAGATTATGATAGCAAGAGCAATTATATGTTTTTTGTATTTGATTATAGATTAGCTATGGTCTGTTCTAGATTTTTGTCAATCATTCACTTCCAACTAATTAGGCTTCATGTTTTACATTTATGTGACATATGCATCTTCGGTGCTGTATATGTCTTGGTGCTTTGATTGAAACAGATAATTACTTATTAGAGCTAACTAGAACTCTCATTCATGGTACATTGTTTTTGTTGGAACTGTAATCATCGACCTAAATTCGAATTGGTTTAGTTGGTGTGGATCCACCTTTATCTCAAACAAGGGTTAACACAATGACACATGCTTTTGATGTGAAATCAGTCTTCCAGAGAATGTAAACGTTTAAACCTAAGCACGTTCCGTCCCCAACCTAACAAGAATTAACATTATTGTATATTACATGTTCCATGGTGATTAAATCTACCGTGATTTGTTTTCTTAACTTTAAATTAGTTAGACCTTTGAATTCATGGGTATTGTATTTTTTGGGTGTGAATTTTTGTAAAAGGATTTGAATATTTCAATGAGGTTTATTGAATTAGAGTTACATCAAACTTTAACTTATGCATTTAGGGTAAATGATTTACATATAACATGATGTACGTCATCAAGTGGGCTGGGTGTTTCTCTGTTTGTAAGATGCATTACGTATAAAAGTAAGGTACTCAAACTAAGACTGAGGGAAACGCTGGGACAACACTATTAGATATATAATCCCAAAAGATCGTTTGTTTGTTTTAGTGAAAAGTCACATTTTGTTGTGCTCTCCATGGGGGATCGAATCCCAGATTTTAGCGTTTTAAGTCCGTAAAAATACCGCTGACCCAGCCATCGACAGTACCAAAAAAAAAAAAGGATGAATGATAAAAGTTTCATTATATATATCCTCGGATAAATGAAAAATTGATCTAATCAGAGAATCCGAACCAAAAAAAAAATCTCAGTTCTAACTCTAAAACTTTAAAACATAAAATATTTTGAAATAAATGTCAATTAGAGGTAGTGGATTCGTAAGCACCCAGCATACTTATTCTACGAAGAAATCCACTTAGCCTTGATATGACATATATTATTAGTTGTCAGAGTAAATATTTTAAGCACTGATTAATATGAAAATTAACAAACTTATTACATATATGTATTTTTTACCAGACGCACTGCACAGTTCCTGATAAACCTATTTATCAGTTCAGTTCTTATTAAAATTAGCATTAGATCACCTAAGTTTACCTTAATGTAGGATTTACGTTTGTTTAGAAGTTTTAAGCTGTTATTTTTGATACTTTGGATTATTGTTGGCATTTTTCTTGGCTTTTATTATGTTACTTATTAAATACAGACAAAATTGATTAATTATTAAGGCTTTCTTGGCCAATTTCCTCAATGAAAAATTCAAAATTAACCTTGTTATAAAAATCTAGTTAATTACAGATCTCTTTCTTCACATTCCTCTTAATATATCCATTACGGTTCAAAATGAGAGGTGTGCTAAAATAACGTTTCAATTGTATATTTTGTATCTCAGAAATCGTTGCGCATGATGCTTTTAGTTGAATACTAGTACTCATCAGTTGGGCTGGACTTTGGGCTGACTTAAGTCACAATGGACAAATTAAGATAAATGTGGAAAAAATACATCTACAGTTTACCCTATTTTATATGAAATTTGAAGCCTTTTGATTTTCAATAGTTCACCGACTTTCGGCATTTAAATCATAACTTTCACAAATAATCTTTTTATTTTTCTCGCTAAAGTGTTAACTGAAAAAAGAAGAGAGTTAAAATTGTCATTGTAATTCATTTTCAAACTATTTAATGTAATGCTGTTGTTGTTTGTTATTAAGCACAAAGCCACAGAAAGGGCTGTCTGTGCTCTGCCCACCACGGGTATTGACCCTTTTTCTAGCGGTGTAAATCCACAAACATACCGCTGTGCCACTGGGGAGTCATTTAATGTAATAAAAATGACATATGTTGCAAAAAAATAATTAAAAAATAAGAAAACTTAATCAAAAACTAAAATAATGTGATTTTATATTGTAGGAAGATGGTATTTCTTTGAAATATTAACTTATAAACAGATTGAAAATATCTTTCACTCGCAATAAAATAATAGTTCACAGTGTATACACTTACCAAAGTAAGGCACGTTGAACAGTAAATGTGATACAAAGACAAATTTATCACACAGCACTTTCTTGTCTGCTCTCCATTAGAGGAGTTTCACATGTGGCACCACATTCTTCCTCATCTCTCTCAGGTAAGTGACGTCTCAAGCCAGTCTTGGAACATTCTGGTCCTGATCCGTTTGACATGACGTCTTCAGAGCAATGCGTAGTTATTGTTGATGTTAGTCCTTCGTAAGAAGTGTCTTCTTGCTGAAGAGAAGTAAAAAGAAAACCAGCTAAGATAAAAAAAATCACCCTTAGGTAGGACTGGAAAACATAATATCGAAACGTTTTTCAGAAAACTTTCTAAAAGGGAAATCTTAGTTAAGGAAATGTAACGTACAACACTAAATAATAAGGGTAAAGCTTCAAAATCTAAACTAGTATCCAACCAATAAGGGGTCACACAGATCCCCCCCTCCTTTTTTTGATTAACAATTATTTGCCATATTTGCATCTCCAGAATATATTACATGTCAACAGAATGAAAAAAAATAAATATTTGGAAAAAGTAATTTAGAATTATTTTTTCGTCCATACTGTTACTTCCGTAACACAAACATCAAACATGTTCAAGTTAGCAGCATGAGTTGCGTTATTAAAGTTAATTTAGGGTTAAAAACAGAAATATAGCTGTAATTAACTATTAAGTTATTGCATAGATTAGATTTAGGTATGAAAAAAATTAAAATATTTATCCGAAATGCCACTGTAGTACCGAAACTTAATTACTCTCAAAATCATACACATAAAGCCCACAGTAACAATTAATGACCTGGGTCAAAGGATTAAACATTCAACTTGAAAAGCATACATCTCCAGATGGAGTTGTTTCATTCATTATTAGGAAAATCAGAAGAACAGCTACTCACTTCAAGAACTCCACAGACGTTTAAATTCGCCCTATGATGAAACACCTTTAAGAGGCTGGTTATGGTGTCTTTAAAGATAAGAACACACTTTGTTGCTGCAGGATACTCTAGCCCTCATGAATCAAGATATCTTAATGCTATTGCGAACAGATTTCGCATCCTTTTCCCATTTCCTTATCCCTATAGATATCTTTCATCGTAGGTAAGGAGTGTCATGTTCTGCTTCAGAATCCATAAGCATCCTTTATTTCAAGGTGTTTCATGGGTTTGTGCAACATACAAAACTCGCGTGACTCTGGTTAAAAATATTCAACTAAAGTAATATATAACAAACAAAACCTGAAGGTGACTAATTTAAAATTATCTCACAAAAGTAAAATGCAGCATGTAAAAACGTGAAGGTGACTCAAGTTAAAATCTCCCACGAAAGTGATAAGTAACATGTAAAACTTGAAGCTGTCTCAATATAAATTTTCTCACAATAGTGTAGTGTAGCATGCATAACTTGAAGGTGAATCAGATTAAAATATTCCACACAAATAATATGTAGTATGTAAAATTTGAAAGTTACTCGAGTAGATTAAGTCCAAAACAATATAACTTCAAAGTTGATTAAATCACCAGACTCCTTTCAGAAGTGTTAGTTCGAACATTTTCTTGGAATTAAAGGAATCATTATATAGGAAAACTTTGTAATGCATGAATATAATTTGCGGAGAAAAATAATCATGAATTTAGAACGATATGTACATTTTAGGGGAGCGAAAAGTAATCAGTTTTTCATGCTAATTTGGTCAGATGTGTAAATACTTGTTTATATACATATGTAATACTTATATTAATAAGTACCATAATGTAGTCTGATGTTTGGAGACAACAGATATTGACTGCCATTGTTTCATTTGCTATCCTTTGCCATTGGATATTCATAACGTCATCAAATATCCAAATAAAATCACTATTAGCCTATGAGTATTAACCTTAATATTTTACAGTTCCTAGTTAGTTTTATTACTCTGAAACTTCGTAAATTATTAAAGATAAGGAGTTTGTTAAAAAGTAACTTTTTTTTGGGACACGAACTAGTAATGAATAAAATAGGAGTATCCTGATTATATGCAAGAACGCTTCTTACACTAAAACACGTGTAATGTATTCCATAATGCATATTTTATTTTGTGATATATATTCATTGAAAATGAAATATTACATCTGATGGGAGAAACTTGCTTTTCAAAATAATTTGGTTTTATTTAGGGTAGAAGAAATTGCAAACTGTTTGTAATTAATGAAAATGTCATCCTTACGTTATCCAACTAATTGTAGATCTCACCGTAACCTATGACCTTTTAAAGTAACATTATCTTAATTTTAAAGGTACTTTGAAATCTCTGATAATTCACAACATTCTCATTGATCAATTTAACTCTGCTCTTTTACCTTTGAAGGTGTATTTGTTTGTTGTTAAGCACAAAGTTACACAATGGGCTATCTGTGCTGTACCTATCACAAGTATCGAAACCCGGTTTTTAGTGTTATAAATCATCATACTTTCTGCTGAGCCACTGGCGGACTCCATCTCTGAAGGGCAATCTATACATCGCCATTTGTGATGCTTTAATTTCTATATAACTTTTATTAGTTCTGCATAGAACATACAGACACCCATTAGGCTTAACAGTATAAGGAGATTGAGTTCGAAACGAGTACGTGTTTCAAACTAAGAATAACATTTACGAAAACTATAATTACACAAAAGCAATATCAATAGAAAAAAGATTAGAAAAAAAATGCATATAAACAACTGATTAAGAATAATTATTTATATCATACTACTCGATAAATAAATAATAAAATGGTGGCAAATTCTTTGGAGTAAATATATGTAATTAATCAGCGACATTACAGACATCAGAAGGTGCTCTAACCAACTACAAGAAAAACGAACTTTTATGCCCCTCAATTAGTTTGCATCCGTAATGTGTTAACAGAGCTTCGATGTTACGAGACCAATTACATATTTCTTTGTTATTGTGAATTTTTGTATAAAACTATAATTAAAGCAAAACATGGGAAAATGAACCGAACAATCTTTTATGTCTTGATGTATATGAAACTTACTGTATTATGAACTGGAAACACTGAAAACAGTTGGTTCAAAACTTTGTGATACTTAATTACAGGTAGCACGGTAATGCTAAATATAGTACACTTTACACATTTTAGTCTCATCTTTCTTGCAAAAGGTTTAAAAATAAGTTCAATTTTCGTTCACAAGTTTAGACTGTTACTAATGCGTTTCACGTTACAGTTTTACCACATAAATACATGTTTTTTTTAGGTCATTTCTGGAATATAAGAAGCGCATTCCAGGTTTAAAAATGTGAATCTACGACAAAGATGTAAATTATTTATGTGCGAAAGTTTCTTTATAAATGTATTTCTAGTAAAATAACTGCAAAGTAACTGAAAGTATGTAACTCGTTTTACCTTTAATACTTCTATGCACGACACTGTACTAAAATGTTTTACTCTGTAACTAACTCATGGTTATTTATTCTGAGCTGTAGAATGTAATTCAAATTTATTCCATTATGTGTGGTATATATATATATATATATATAAGATGTATATCTACAAAGATATAGAAATATTACTAACGCTCTATGGTTGGTTTAAGTTTCTATTATTTTACTGGTATTGTTTTATTATTTTTATTCTGTCTTTGTTTTGTTTATTCTATT